GACTGCAAAAGGCTGCCTTTAGCTCTTGTGAGACATCTGGAATAGGGGTCATAGGGAAGAGAACACAGTATGGGCAGTTCTGGTGATGGTAAGAAGGACTTTAAGGAGATTGTCCGGTGAGAATTGGAAATATGAACCTAGAACTAGATATCTGAAGTATTGACTTAGAAGTGGTTGATGAATGCCTTGGGGGTGGGAGGCAGTGGACAGGGTCTCCTGAGGGGAGCACAAAGAATGAGAAGTGGGGGCCGGCCGAGTGGCTCAGTTGGTTAAGAGCTCGCTCAAGAGTTTGAGCTCTGAGCAACAGCGGTTCGAGTCCAGCCCGAGCTGAGCAGCCGCTGAGCTGCCAACAGGTAGCAGGATGGCTCAGCTAAAAAAAAAAAAAAAGAATGAGAAGTGTACTATAAATGGAATTTCTGCTGATCTGATAGTTAAAAGACACGCTGATTTGGAGGAATTTGAAAAAGGGACCAAAATCAAACACTCAGAAATGTAAGAATGATTACATTTATTCTTTAAAAATACACAAATTCTAAAGGATGCGTTTTTTATTTTACAATAGCTGGACACTATTCCTTGTCATACTATGTGCCTAATATAATAAAGCCCAATCTAGAGACATTTTTTTTCAACAAGCATCAACATTTTTACTTAAAAAGTAAAAGAAAACTTTATTGCAGCATCACTACTATATACTCGTATAGATGTATTTTTCCATTTCTTTGAAGAAAGTCTTTTTTTTTTTTTAATTGGGGAATTGGGGAGGGAGACCAGCCAAGTTGTTGTTCTTCAGTCTTAGTTGTGGAGGGCACCAGTTGCCACCTGGCTGCCTTAGAGGCTCATGGCCTCTAAGCTCAAGGTGCTGTGTTACAGTCTTAGTTGCAGGTGGGCATAGCCACCATCCCATGCAGGAGTCAAACCAGCAGCCTTGTGGTTAAGAGTGCGTGCTCTATCCAATGAGTCATCCGGGTGGCAGCTTAGCTAAAGGTGCCAAGTTCAGTCTTAGTTGCGGGTGGGCATAGCCCACCATGGAACAGGCAGTCTTGCTGTTAGGAGCACGTGCTCTCACCAGCTGAGCCGTCCTGCCACCTGTTGGCACCTCAGCAGCAGCTCAGCTTGGGCGCAGTGTCACTGGCTCATGTGGGAATCAAACCGGTGGCCCTGTTGCTTAGAGCTCTCTCTGTTAAGCTAACTCTTAACCAACTGAGCCACTCAGCCGGCCAAAAGAAAGTCTTAATGACAAAAACTGTACAGGTCATAGGCCAAGAGAACTAGTCTAACAAATTTAATAAAAAATATTTCAGAACAGCTATACTATAGTTTTAGACTTTTCTAAAGCTGTCTTAGAAAATTATTTACAAATTTAACATAGTATAAACATTCTAAACTTCAAAATAAATCTATGAATTTTATACAAAAATATTCTAAAGTACAAATATAAGTTAAAAACTGAAAAAACATTCACCATATCCAGTGCAAGCTATTATTAAGAATATATTCTAGGGCCGGCCGAGTGGCTCAGTTGGTTAAGAGCTCACTCAAGAGTTTGAGTTCTGAGCAACATCGGTTCGATGACGGGCCCGAGCTGAGCTGTGGCTGAGCTGCCAAAAGGTGGCAGGATGGCTCAGCTAAAAAAAAAAAGAATATATTCTAGGTGGTAAAATTTAAAGTGATAACCACAAAACAGTATTTCCATAATTATTCATAATTTTAAATATTTTAGTAGCAATCACAAGGTTTAGTTTTATTGTACAATTTTCATTTTTACAAATGCAAGATGTACAGTTTCCTTCACAGACCTCATCTCTTTAGCACATGTAAAAAGTCAACAAAGTAATAAAATTTTTTTGTCAAAAGTAAACATACCATGTAAAGTATATAAATCATAAAATTTTCAAAAGCTCTTAGCTGATTCATTTAAAAAGGAAACAGGCATGCATTGTACACAAGAAAAGACCAAAAAACACACAGAATATCTAATCAATCTAAGCAAATAATGTTTCCACACTTTAGAAAAATATTAAATATTAAATCTTTAAAAGCCATTGTTTTATGAATAATTATGAACAGAACAAAATTTTTACATTTAATTTGTTATGAAATATATTTGGAATAGTGTAAGAAGCATCTTGCCAAGAGGTATCATTTTGTTATGTAAAAATAAGCATGTCTTTCATTGTTTAAAAATTTCCCCCAAATGCTACAAATCACTATTTTAAAACAATGTTGATATTATTTACAGTTGTGTTTTTACCCTGAGGTGCTAATTTTGCATTTGGCCAGATGTTCATAAAAATTAAAAGGGAGATGTGTGACCCTAATGTGTCAATTGAAATTTTCTAAGTAGTTGTGTGAAAAAGGCCATTAAAATACACATATTCTAGTCATCAACCACATTCTTATAGAGAAAATATGCATTAAAATTATAACCCTACAAACAATTTGGACGTTAGTTTCAGCTTCGGTTACTCTCCATTCTATTAAGTAGAGTTATTTATTATATACATGGCTTTTTGTAGATAATTAAACATGGATACCAGAATAGCAACTAAGCAACTGAACAAGTACTTAAGACTTCTACTTTGGAACACAGTAAATACTGACACTGGGGAAATTTTAAATGGCTCATTTTTCCTAACACATTAGTGCAAATTAGCAAACGTTTAGAAGAATTTAGTCATGGAACGAAGGAAGCATGATCTCATCTTCATTCACTCCTGGTTCATATCGAACTGAAGAGAATCCTGCGAAGTGCAAACGATTTCTTTGGACGAGGAACCAAATCAGTGCGCTGATGAGAGCTAAGACACTTAGCACAGCAAATGTGATAGCTACTCCTCTGTAATCAGGGCCTAGAACAGGGGAAGGTTTAACATGAGGAGAGAATATGAAAGTGATCATTATTGATTATATACATTCAGCTGTGTGTCACATATGTAAACCCTGTACAAATTAGACACAATATGTCCCTGATTGTTTCATAGCATGAATACAGAATTCAAACTCATCAAACACTCAAGCGCTTTCTTGTCAAATTCAACTGTTTTCCTTTTTCTTAAAATTCTATTCATAGCTACAGCAATTTTCTTCCCAAGACATTAGAGCACTAACATTATTCTCACTTTTCCTTCCCATCACCCTTTTGAGAATATCACTCTGTACATTACCTTACTTTGATAGCAAATTGTTAAAAGCTGTAAATTGTTGTGTTTAACCTACCTAGGGCCACATAAAATATTATTTGCTCCAAAATGATTTAAGTCTTTAGGATGACCTCATTTAGTTTCTAGCTTTTCAATTTCAAATGTTGTCCCAGTCTCCTTCTCTGCATGCTACCAAGATAGACTCATTCTACCCAATGCTTTTTATAGCATTTCTGTGTTGACTTCCCTTCTCTCTGAAAGGTCCAATAGCATACTATACATTTTATATGGAAATATGGACAGTTAAAAATGGCCAAAACAAGCTGCACCCTCTACAGCTAAGATTGTGAACAACAGCTTGACCTGGAGCAGGGCTGCCGTGAGTCGCCAGTGACAGCGTAGGCTGCAGTGGGGCTGCAGTGGGCTGCCATGGGCTACCGTGAGCAGCCGGCAGCTGGGGTGAGCTGCCGTGAGCAGCCGTCCAACGGCCGGCGACTGACTGCCTTACCCGGGAAGAGATCATAATGCCAACATGGGCCAGTGAGGCGACGTCCTCCACAACTAGAGTGAAGAACAAAAGGACAGCAACTTGGCTGTTCCCCTTCCCAATTCCCCAACACTGTTCCCCTCCCCCAATTCGCCAATAAAATCTTTTAAAATAAAATGGCCAAAGCAGAATTCTTGGTTTACACTACCCTAACCTTGCTCCCATCAACCCCAACACATTCCAGTCGTTGTCCATTCCACTCAGAATACCACCTGAACGCCTGAACTTTGTGTGCAGAGGCCTAAGTGTCTGGCACTGGCCTACCTTCCAGTTCTTCCCTCAACACTCATCAGGCTCGCTCCGCCTTTGGCTCTTTGCTGTAACTGGTACCTCTGCCTGGTGAGCCTCTTTCCCTGATCTTTGCTTGGCCAGCCTTTCAATCTCAGCTTCACAGTCTCCTGCTCTTAGCCATCTTCCCTGATAACCCAATCTAGAGTAGCCATCCCCTGGTCTCGATCCCACAGAGCTTATAACTATTTGAGATTTTCCACTCTTTTAAAAATGGACATGCTTGGTTACTTATTATCTGTCTTCCTCTACCAGATTATAAACCCTGTGAGAAAAGGTTTTTTATTTGTCTTGTTCACAGGTGCACCCCAGCACATAGTACAGCCATGACATAACAGTAGACACTCAAAATACTTGCTGTGGATACTGGTAACCTAGAATTGAGGTTTTACCTTTAATATTTGTGCACCAAAATAGACATTTTTATCCTAGATCTTTACAAATGTTGCTGTGAAAAATTTAGAGGCCTTTCTCTAGCAGTGAAGTTATTAAGATAAGATTTTTAAGGTTATTTTACATATCAATTCATGATGAATGGTGAATTCAAATCATGATTCCCTACAGATACCCAGGACATTTTAAGTAATTAAATCCAGTTTTGTGATGTTGTTAAGTTATTCATGAGTTTTAAGTGAATGAGGAGAGAGGAAGCCAACTCACTGAAGAATTAGACCTTTGAGCTTTTACATATTCAAACTACAGAATAAAATACATCTTAAGAACATTGTAAAAGACATGACCTCCCTAATACTCTGGCAGCTTCCATTTTTCTTAGGAAGGAAGTGTACAAAGTTTAGATTGTTTATAGTTTCCTCTGGAAGTCCTAGGCGTCTTGTGCATTGACTGTCTCTTGTAATCTTTTTTCCCGGGAAAGAATCTCTATGACTTAAGATATTTTTGGATATACTTTAAGGACTAAATATTTTAAGATCAAGTACAAAACTCTGCATATTACCAAATTGTACATTTATGTCCTAACCTGTTCTGCAAAAATACTCCCTAAGGACAGGTTACATACTTACCCAGAGGTACTTTGCAGATAACTCTTCCATAGCCACGTGAACATTCCACTTGTATCCACGTTTCATTGGAAGCTAACAAAATGCTACATCTTCCACCATCCCTCTTACGTTTATTTGCCCATTTGGCAAATGTCACTTTTGATCCATCTAACCAATTCCAAGTCTGATCTAAAAAAAGAAATTATAAACATGTTTATTGCCACTAAATTACTACAGTAAAAAGTCAAGCGGTTCATACAATGCTGTGTCACTGTTTAAAATGAAATTTATTAAAAGAGAAAAAATTTAAAAATCAGTCTGTCAGTTGCACTTGTCACATTTCAAGTGCTCAACAGCCATGTATGACTAGTGACCACTATATTGGACAGCACAGATATAGAACAATTTCATCTTTGCAGAAAGTTCTATTAAACAACACTGATATACAATAGAATGTAGTGCTTTGATTAAAGTGCAGAATTCTTACATATTTATTGTGTGAGAGATAGGTTTCTAAAGACCTATATCCCCTTCCCTCTCCTGCCACAATTAAAAAACTCATATCATTAAAGATATGCTCGTGGGGAAGGGAGGTCCAGGAGGGTCTCCCCACCAGGATTCCATTTTTGTTTTTCAGCTGAGGTAGCACCACCTTGTGGTGATAGCGTAAACACAATTTACAGTTCATTTCTCCAGTCAACTTTGAACCCCATTCACTTTTTGACAAGGACTTAATATTTTGGAATTCACATTTATGTCAATTATTTAGAATTGAACTTTGCATAAAATGTGAAACAGATTCCCTATTATTCTATCAAGTTTGTGCTCTGAATTCACTCTTTATCAATTCCAAGTTCACTCAAACCCTGCAGCTATTATTCTTTATTGAAAAATTCTTCCACGGATCTTTTTGAATGAATTCTCTGTAATTTTACTAAACTGTTCTGAAAAAAAGATCACTATCAAGATTTAATTTTGCTCTATGGTAAAAATGTTCCAAGAGGAAAGGGAACAAGAAGAAAACTTTCTGAATAGCAGAGTCATAAGCTGGAAAACTCGGGGTGATAGATAGGAGAACGCTAAGGGAAGTAAGTGAGGGAATGAATCCTTGTAGGGGCACAGATATCGTTGTAGAAGAAAAAATATCCTGTTGATCCAAGTATCTTAAGCCTCTAGAACAATTCCAGTTGATGTCAACTGATTTTCTATTTTATTAGTGTTTTCCATCATTACTAGTAAGTCACTCCCTTATTCATTAGGAATTTATAAGCCTCCCAAACAGCCAGCAGACTAGCTTATTCATCAATAAGAAGCGTGTGAATCAGCCACTGTTTGACATTCTTCAGCAAGACTGACTTGGTATTAAGACAAATTAGAACTCTGCGTACTGCACACACACAGATGTCACGTACCAGCAACCTGTTGAGATAACCCAAGCCAAACTCTCGTGGTAATATTATTATGTTCCCTCATCAGTCTGCTCACAAATTCATTCTCATCTTCATCCTCTATGGTTACAATTATTGCAGAATGATCTGTTGAAGGAAACAACGCCCAAAATAATTAGCTTCATGCAAACTACGGAGATGGTTTATTCTCAACCACCCATTTGAAAAAAACAAACAAAAAACCCCAAATATCATGATCTAGATCATTGAGAAATTCAAATTTGACACAGAATGTTTTTTAAAATCTGATATCTCTCAGGTTTTTAAAAGTATAGCATTAATAGCTTCCCAAAAATGTCAGAAATATTTCTAGATTGAAGCTTGGCACTTAGAAATTTTATGTTTCTTCAAAATGTTTACCTGGTAATCTTTTTTGATCTTGGAACTGCCTAACCAGTGAGACCTTTGTGTATAAACAGCTAGTTGTGAGCAGTGGGGTATGTGATGGTAGAAAGATGTGTTTCCTTATAGATTTTCAGCAGTCTTTCCTCAACAACCATTTCTGTATAAATTTGCTTCTGTTAAAATAGAAATTAAAGTAAATAGGTTTGGGATATTGGAGAGCATTAGCCTTCCTTTTAATATTATTTTATACATAAGTGCATTTGGTCATGCCCATTGTAAGTTCCTAATAGTATGGAATTGAAAGAGTGAGTATTCTTGAAGTTTGATGGGTCACCCTAAACCCATAGAGAAAATGGTGCTATCTCCAGCTTCAGGCATGGGACAGAAATAAACTAATAACTAAACTTGGAAATCATCCTAAATGGAATCAAGTAATCTTCAACAGCAATAAGCCTCTCCATATTTGAACTTTTGTGATGGAAAGGATTTAAAGAAGCGCAAAGGAAAGCTTTTCTTCCTTTATAGATCGCCACAGTGTGCAGGTAGGTACTCTATGTGTTATCTTCTTTAATATCACATAATCGTATAGAGGAAGGTATTATCACTATTTTACAGAAGAGGAAACTGAGGCTCAAGGAGATTAAGTAAATTGATTAGGTTTACACAGCTAGCCAATTATAGAATTAGAAAGTCAATCTCAATCTTTCTAATAATATGAATAATAATTAATGCTATTTGCAGGGCACTGTGCTACATTTGCATATATTATCTCATTTCATTCATTAACTACAACCACCCAATCTTTACCCCTATACCCAAACTTTGATGTAAGTACTATAGTTGACCCTTGAACAACATGGGTTTGAAATATGTGGGTCTACTTACACAGATTTTTTTTCAATATACAATTGGTCCTCCGTATCCCTGGGTTTTGCATCCACAGATTCAACCAATCTTGGATCAAAAACAGTATTTTCCATCTGCGGTTGGGAATACACGGATGCAGAGGGCCAACTGTAGGCACTGATCTGTGCCATTATGTATAAGCATCTGAGCATCTGTGGATTTTGGTATCTGTGGGGGGGCCTGGAACCATTTTCCCATGGATACTAAGTAATGACTGTAGTTAAATCATGGGGGAGTCAAAAGTTATACGTGGGGGGCCGGCCGAGTGGCGCGATGGTTAAGAATTCGCTTGGGATGCCAGAGGGCCCCGGTTCGGATCCCACATATGAGGGCCAGTGACACTGCCCTCCGCAGCTGAGATGCTGAACAACAGCTCAAC